AACGTACGGTGTCTTCCCCACGGACGGCGCCAACTGTTGGTGCAAAAAGTGACCAACTAGTAAATATTTATCGTTTTACCGTATGTTGTGATCGGATGTGGCATAGCACTCAATGACACAGGGTTTATACTGGTCCGGGCAACGTGCCCAAAGTCCAGTTTGAGGTGATCGGTGACTTTATTTCTGAGTCCAGGTGCTTGAAGTTTGGTGTGGGGTTACAAACGAGTAGGAGTAAGGTAGAGGTGTCAGAGGTCCGGCCGGACTCTGGACCGAAGGGCCGAGAGTGACGGGAGCTCCTACGTGCGCTAAGTATTGAACGTATGCTTTGTGTAGCTTTAGAAAGTCTAAAGCTAGCAGAGAATGAGTCGGAATGATCCGTCTGTTGTTGTTTGTTGTTCATCGCTGTTGTCCCCCTTTGTTAGGAGATGGTGCATCCCCTTTTATAGATAAAGGAAATGGCCTTACAAATGAGAGAGAGAGTGTGCTACCAAGTCTTGTTGCCCATGCCATTGGGTATAAGCCAGTTTGTCAGCGCCCACGATACTGTTGACGCCCAGATGCATGTGGTAGGTTCCATCGTATTCTTCTCGGTATGGCCAATGTCGACGTCTACCATACTGTAGGACAAATGTCGACGCCCACAACACTATTCGTGTTTCTGACATGTCTGAAAGGTTATAAAGTACCCTTCTGACACGACCTGACAGTACTGTCTTGCAGGTGTGCAGGATACGGTCCTCGGTATTACGGTTTGACTTGAGCGCCCTTCCTTATTTGCTCCGCCTGATTCTTTGGGTCCATACCGAACGAGCGTCCCCGGTCGATCGTTTCGCGGTCGGCTCCGACTGCGCCGGTCGGAGAAGAGTTGTAAGCAGAGGTTTGGTGTGTTCCCGGTCGGAGAGACGGATCAGAGTCAGAAGTTAGCGTCGTCTCCTCCTTGGCCAGGCCTTCCGGTCGGAAAGGCGGGTCGGAGTCGGAAGCTAGCGTCGTCTCCTCCTTGGCCCTTGCTCTTTTGGCCTGTCGTTTAGGTATCTGGGCCGGCCCAGGAGTTGCGCGTCGTTTCGCAACATCGTCTACTGGGCCAAGCTTTTACTGAGAAGCAAGTCCATTAGGGACCCCGAGTTTATAAACCCGACAAATACAGATATTAAGGGGGTGTTTGGTTTTTTAGGCGCTCCTAAAATTTATGTCACATCAAATATTTAGAGACTAATAAGGAGCATTAAATATAAATTAATTACAAAACTAATTACATAGATGGAGGCTAATTTCCGAGACGAATTTTTTAAGCCTAATTAATCTATCATTAGCACATGTTTACTGTAGCACCACGTTGTCAAATCATGGACTAATTAGGCTTAAAAGATTCGTCTCGTAAATTAGTCGCAAGTTATGCAATTAGTTTCATAATTAATCTATATTTAATATTCTATACATATGTCAAACATTCAATGTGACAGGAAGGAATTTTAGAAGGAGGGGAAGAAACCAAACAGCCCCTAAAACTCTCTTCACTTCAGCTCTATAGGAACAGGAGCAGCAAGCTGTCCTAAAGAGAAGACCCACTTGGAGACGAGGCAGCACTAGCACTGGCAGATCTTCTAGACGGGGAAGGCTAATGCAGAGATTTAGGAGTCGAGATTCTTAGTTCAAGAATAGGGTCTCAATTCCATACTTTCTATTTGAAGAACAAGATTCTATTCCAAAAGAAGGTATTGAGAGCCCCCATCAGAAGCCATTGCGGTTCGCGCAAACCACAGCACAAAACTAATTCCCTGTCCTGTCCTCTCAGGATTGATTCACTCACATTGCACTATTCGCAAACTCATCTTCCCCCGAACAATTCCCTCAAGAAATCCCCAATCTACCAAACAGCAAAGGCGATCCCTTTTATCACACAACACAAGATATTATCCAAAGGGGCCAGAGCAAACCGGCTCCGGGTTCTTGATTTCGGGCACCGGTACCAATCGCCCCCACAGAACAGAAACCACCTTCCTTTTTAGTAGTAGGATGAAAAAAAAAGGGAAGGGAGACCTCGCGCGAAGAGACGAGACGAGACGACTGACCTTCGCGCCGCCGGCTGTTGCCCCTACTAGCGGATTGGACGACGGCGCTGGTCCTCCGCCTGCGCCCGTCCTCGGTAGCTTCGGCGGAACGGGAGTAGGATGATGAAGGGGAACAAGAAGTTACGGGGCAGGTGGCTGGCATGCTATGCTGGATTTCTTTACTCCCTGTTTCCAAACGGAGGAGATATATTTTATTTGATCCCGACGCAAATCTCCGATCAATAAAGTCCCTGTTCGTCCGTACCCTTTCATAAAAATAACAATATTTTTTTTCACAACAAATTAACGTTAATATTAGCATGAGCCGTTTTTATAGCCAGCGCTCAATATTACTCTGACTTGGAAGCATACAATTGCTCTGCTCCCTTTTCGCCTTTTTTCGCGGAGTTTTCATTCAGTGCCTGTAATTTGCAGTTTGGCTGATAGAACCTCCCTTTCAGGCAAAGGTGCCTACCAGCTAATCCTCCTGCCCCAACTGTTGTTGGCTTCTTCCTAGTAGTTTATTTTTCTGCATATATATAAAAACAATCTAGTAACATACCACTATTATTATATATCAAGTTAACTTATCATACTCGTAGGAAAACCAAAGTAGCAGGATACCGGATTGAGCTGGTTCTTGCATTGCAGGCCCAATGTCCGAAGAAATTTCCGGTATAGCGCAACACGATTTGTGCGGGTATGGTGGCACAGCATGGCATTGACCGCGCACGAGACCGTCCAATTCCAACGGACGCTTCCAGGTTGCGTCTGCCGCCGGTCACTAGTCGACCTTTAGCTTCGCTTTGATGAAGAACCCTATGTGAAATGGAATACGGCGAAAAAGGATTCCATTCCACCTCGTTTTAGCGTGGTTATAGTTGCCTGCGGACGGAGAGGGTCGGTCAAGATCGGTGGCCGTGGCGTGGGCTCCGTGTTCAGTGGAGATGGCCGGATGGGGCGACCGGCGACGTCCTCGCCGACGTCAACGGTGTATTCTTCTCAGTCTTTGTATAAAATTGTTAACTTCAGAGGCATTGTACCTGTTCATGTTCCTGCTTTGTGGCACTTGAAAATTCCTCCTAGCATACATTTCTTTCTTTGGTTACTTTCCAAGAACAAGCTGCTGACTAGATGAGGAGGAAAGTAGATGACCAGACTTGTTTGTTGTGTTCAAAAATTGAATCAGTATATCATCTCTGATGTCATCAGTGCAGGGGGCGCCAAAGCTCACGCCACCACGAGCGGGAGCACCCGGCGTCGCAGATGGTTGCACCAACCCCAGCGACGCGACGCCCACACCACGCGAAGCTGCACGGCGTCTCGCACGGTTCACTAAGGAGGTGCAGCTCAAGCGAATGTCGCCATTAATTGTCAGCCCACCAAGGCAGAAGGTGGCAACAACAAGATAACCCCTGTCAAAGCGGAGCAGACGGATTGCCGCTCAGCCGCTGGCGCATATTCCGACCTCCGAGCGAGGCGAGGTGCTCCTCATGCAGAGGATGGGCTTTGCACCGCCGGCAGCTCCAATCTCATCCGCGTCCAAGCGAGCATACGACGACTTATTCGCAAGGAACTTGACGTCGAGCGAAGTCGAAGCACTGGACGCGCTGTTCTCGGCGACCAATGCTAGGACTGGTAGAAGACTATTCTCGGATGACGGAGCAGGGTCGCGCGGCCAGTAGCGGAGACGCCCAGCTCCGTTGGTTACTGCACTGCTCTTAGTTTGGTTGTTTACTTTTTATGTAATATCAAAGTTCGAAACAGTCTGCTAGGAATGTCCAGTCACAACTGTAAGACCTCCTAGGGCGCTCATTAGAAACGTGTCGTGTGTATGGTTAAACTTTTTCTTCTTAATTACAATGATACGCAAATCTTTTGCGTATTCGAGAAAAAAAGTATATCATCTCTTCTTTAGTTGTGTAGTTGCTAAACAACTCTGGGTTTGTGTTTCTGAAGCTATTGGTAAAGATGTAGGAAGTTCCTTTGAATCTATAAGCTCTTTGTGGTTAAGCAACAAGAGATTCTTAATTGATAATATGTTTTGTGCTGCTGCCTTGTGGGGGCTTTGGAAGCTAAGAAACGGTCTATGTTTCCAGGGTTGCCTTTGGAAGGATGTGAAACTGCTATTTCAGCACGTTGTCAGTATGCTTCAAAACTGAAGGCTGCTATGCCCCAAGAAAAACCTTTTGGAGTTCAATCAGAAGTTAGTGAAGCTGAGGATCATAGCCACAAGACCCCACCTGCTACCTGGTTGTCCCAGGTAGGGAAGGATTGGGAGAGCTTTCTCTACAAGCATGCACTCGAATGGCAACACCAAGCTCTTCCAGCAGATGTGGAGGAGCACCTTGCTGGCTTTGAGGAAATGGTTGGAGAGACGGAGGAAAACAAGTGGTTTAGTTTGGCTCAGTTCAAGTCTGCCTGGCAGATGTAATGTTTGATGATGGTTGATGGGGTGTGTTTCTCTTTTGTGCTCGATGTTGAGGTGGGTACTTTGTTATTCTGGACGAATGCTGTAAACGTTTGTGGTCTTGGTTAATGCTAAGGCTGAGGCAAGGCCCTTAAACTCTAAAAAAAAATAGCGGCGGCGGCGTGGGCTCGGTCGGGACTCGGGACAGAGAGAGAAAAAGAAAAAAGGCTACCGAGGCCGCGTCCAACGCCAGCCCAGTGGGACAGGCATCATTTGCAGCCGGGCCGGTACGTGTTGGCGGCGGGCCGGTTGATGAGACGAGAATGGCCGCAGCCCACGAGTCATACTGTCGGCCCAGCACCGTCTGATCAGGAAGCGAACCGGTTGTCCCGTGCCTGCCCACACCTCCGCCGCGCACCTACCACTGTCTCCGCTCGGCGTCACCGGTCAGTCAGTCATCTCAGGCACCACCGGACCAGACCAAACCCCGCCTGCGAATCTAAAGCCAAACCAACAATCCACGGGAGGGGAAGGGCGGGGGCATGGAGTTCCTGCAAGGGCAGAGGCTGGAGACCACGGTGGCCGTCGCGGTCGCCGTCGCCGCCGTCGCCGCCGGCGCCGCCTACCTCTTCCTCCGCAGTAGGAAGCCCAGGGGTGAGCCCTTTGCCCTTCCCATTACGAATAACCCGCGCGTGTCCGGAACCCTTGCTATGGCTAGTCACTCGTCTCTCTCTCGTGTGGTCACTACTCATTAGTATGTATCTCTGGCTCTGAATCCTGCCGCGCTTGTGTCCTGCTGAGCTCAAAGAATTCGTGAGTGTGCTCTGGTCCATTGATTCATCTTTCTTTCATGCTAATAATTGGATTTAGTTGTGTTGATTGATGCCTCTGAACACTAGTGTCAGTAAAATTACATGATTCCAAAGCTGAACATTCAGAGATAAGTTCCTTGCTAGGCCAAGGCCATCTAGTTGACATGCTTCTTTGGATTCTGAAACATTTGAGAACTGGCCCTATTTATCCTTACAACCGTGGTTATTTTCTTGCTACTTGGTACTTTGTTTGTGTATATGCATATACCGTTCTACTTATTTTAAGTGAGCTACTTAGTCCTTTCAAAGCTACGAGCTCATTCTTTTTTAGGAACACGGAGCTCGCAGCCTAGTCCCATTTTTTCTTGTAGCTCATTTGTGTTGGTTGTGTTGTAATCTGTTCTATAGGCTGCCTGGACCCCGAGAACTTCAAGGAGTTTAAACTTGTTGAGAAGAGGCAACTGAGTCATAATGTTGCCAAGTTCAAGTTTGCGCTTCCAACACCTACTTCTGCATTGGGTCTTCCAATCGGACAACATATAAGCTGCAGGTTTGGGCTCTTTGTTACCACTTTTGAAAGTGGGTTTGCAAGGTACAGCCGTTAGTTTTGAATTTCCTTTAATCTTACTGTGTTTATCCCCAATTGTTCCAGAGGACAGGATGCTGCTGGCGAGGAAGTGATCAAGCCTTATACTCCAACTACTCTGGACTCTGATCTTGGATCATTTGAGCTTGTTATAAAGGTAAATTTTCAATAAGAGGATCCTTTTTTTCCATTTCCTAATCATTCCATCTTATCTTCAGTTGTGTTGTTATGCATCTTTGGTCATCAATGCAACTATTTGTGCACTGTTGTGATTGACCACTTATTTTTCTTTCTTTCCCATCATGAAGATGTATCCCCAAGGAAGAATGTCTCATCATTTCCGTGAGATGAAAGTTGGTGATTATCTGTCTGTGAAGGGACCTAAGGTATACCTGTATCACATTATTTTTGTACGTAGATTTTGCCTGTTCCATGTCCGAACTAACACACTATACATGCTCAATTTGGTCCTTTCTCATGATACATATTTTGGTCTTGATTTTTTTTTGTCTATAATACTGAGTTACTGAGTATTATTAGGCATCACACTTGTCATTCTGTGGTTGTACACAAAGATAAATAAAAATGGCCCAAATACCTTGTTACCTTCATTTTTGCTACATTGGAAAGAGGCGTTCATTTGTTTTGTGAGAGTGATAGCATTTATTTTAGCAAAGGCAACAAATGAACAAAATGGCAAAAAGATACCTAGAAGTTTTACATTTTGAATGAAGTTGAGAAGGCTAAAACAACATCTATTTTGAATCATAGGGTGTATTTTGTTAATGAAAATATAGATATGCTCCTGGTATGCATTTTGGCCTCTCAAATATTGAAGTTAAATAAATGCTTCTCTAACCTAGGGCCGTTTCAAGTACCTACCTGGACAAGTGAGAGCATTTGGAATGATAGCTGGAGGATCAGGCATTACTCCAATGTTCCAAGTAATAAGACATGGTCCTAAGTTATCTATTGTGGCATAAAAGTTGAGATATTTTTTTAGTATTCAGCAGTGCTTTTTTCTGTCTTACTATAGGTCACAGGGGCAATTCTTGAGAACCCAAAAGACAATACGAAAGTACACCTATCTATGCAAATGTCACATATGAGGATATTCTTCTGAAGGTATGCCTTTTATGCTGACAGACTCCATTGACTCTTTTTCGAGAACGCATCCGTTGACGCACGTTTCATTAAGAGGATAAGACTCCATCGACTCTTAACCTGATAGCAGTTATATACCTGTATGTAGAATGGTCTGGTTCAATTGATGATGCCTATTTGGTGATACACAGTACACTGATATCATTACTCTCCATCTGTCTAGCTTATATTACGAATAGAAAACTAGTAGGGCTGGTTTCTCAGATATGGAAATAATCTGGTTTTTGCACATAATTTACGGATCATATCATGAAGCGCAGAAACATGTCACAGAATACCAGGCAATTTGTAATTTGCTACTAGAATTCTATATATGCCCTCTTGCAAGAATTCCTCTATAAAATATGTGTAAGCAGCACTCTTTTGTCTAGAAATAATTATGGATTTGTTCCTCCACAGTAGAACTCGGAACTCTTGTCTACAGTTCTTGTATATAGACACCTGTTTGTTTGCTAAACTAAACCATCGCAATCGAAGGAAATTTTCTGTTTGACATGCATTTGTGCCACTGATTGGGCTTATGACATTACATTCGTGATGAAATTGCAACTCGCTATTATACAGTACAGTATCGTTTTGTGCGCTTACATTTTGCTTGATGCAGGAAGAGCTTGACAGTATGGCCAAAAACTATCCCGATCGTTTCAAGATCTACTATGTCTTGTATCAGGTTTATTTCTATTCTAAGAATTAGTAGTTTGGCCAGTCACCTATCATTAGTGGATACCCTATGTTTCGCTCGTCTGTGTCTTACTAAGGGGGTGTTTGGATCCGGCTACTAAAATTTAGAAGGTGTGTCGGGAGGATGTTGCATGGGGTGTTCGGATACTAATAAAAAAACAAATTACATAATTCGTCAGTACTCCACGAGACAAAATTTTTAAGCCTAATTAATCCGTCATTAGCACATGTTTACTGTAGCAAACCATTGTCAAATCATGGACTAATTAGGCTCAAAAGATTCATCTCGCAAATTAGTCGCAAACTATGTAATTAGTTTCGTAATTAGTCTATATTTAATATTCCATGCATGTGTCTAAACATCCGATGGGACAGTGGCTAAAATTTAGGAGGGGCAACCAAACACCCCCTAAATAGGCATTGTTTCCGTGCAGCCTCCTGAAGTCTGGGACGGTGGTGTCGGGTTCGTGTCAAAGGAAATGATCCAGACTCATTGCCCAGCGCCTGCTGCTGACATTCAGGTAAGCTTTCCAGTTACTGAAAGCACTTGCTGGAACTTGGAAGCCATCAGTTTTGCTCGGTGAAGTCAGACACTAGGGGGGTTTCCGTTTCCAGGTATTGCGATGTGGCCCTCCTCCCGTGAACAAAGCCATGGCTGCGCACCTGGACGATCTCGGCTACACGAAGGAGATGCAGTTCCAGTTCTGAGCATTCTCTCTACCAATACCAAAATAAACGGCGATGGAACAAGTTTCGTTGCCTCTTTGAGTAGACGAAGCCTGATCCTGTCGTCATATAGCTCCAAACAGACGAAGTTTGCCGTTCAGAGCATCGTACCTGGATGAAAGGAGTACCGAGTACCTAACCTAATTTGTATTGGTGTCGGGACATTGTACCATGCCATTTTTCGTGTCGTCGCAGTCGCTACTCCAATGAAGACATGTTTTTTTTTTTGTGGCATCGCCATTTTTGCCTCGTATCTGCAATGTTACCAGTGGTTACAGTGCACCCTCTCCTAACACAATCGTTTGTCACTCCGAGCCGGCACACCGGTGCCAACTTGTATCATTCTGACGCGTCATACAAATACAAAAACTGTGCATGTGCAGATGTGCTATCTCTGTTCTTGCAGAGCAATGGACGCGTGCGCATACGTACGGCCATACGGGTAGGCTTGGTAGCAAACAGGTGAGCAGGTGGTGTGTTGGTTGCAGACTTGCAGCTCCTGCCCTATGAGGCCGAAACACGAACAGCACAGCGATGTCAAGCCGCTCGTTTACACGCCAGGTGCAAGACAGTGACACCAAGGCGTTCGTCGTCGTCTTCTGAGCTCCTGCTACAATGGTTCATGGCGTGTCCGTACATGTACGTGCGATTGCTTCGTGCTCAGGGGACAGGAGACAGGAGAGTGCATGCGTTCTGCCTGCAAGGGCAGGGATGTGAACAACTGACAAAGACGATCGAACACACGGTCCGATAAGGGCATGGGAAGTCGTCAAATCGAAAAGTTGTAACTAAAAAAATCTATGTTTTGCTTTTTCGCAAGAGGGCTCCTGGGCCTGTGGGCCATGGCAAATTCCCGTGGTCGTGTGTTTTCGTTGGGAGGGGCACTGATTACTGAGCCTGGGCCATGTATAATAGTAGCTTAGCGGTTAAGCTTTCACTCATGTACTGGGCACCCATAATATTACCACCAAACGCACTCGAGTGAGTGTGCAATTTAGTGTAGGGACCAGAATTTTAAAGTTATATAAGGTGAAAAAGACGCATCGGTATGTTTTAATATGATTTTTTACTTAGCCTACAATTTGCTTCCAAAAGGTAAAAAAAATATAATAAAACATGTAATAAGCTTCCGAAATGTCATTCTCCTTACGATTTCTTTTTGACATCACTATGTAATAAGCTTCCAAAAGGTCATTTTCCCTACAAAGTTGTAATAAGCTTCCAAAAGGTTAAAAAAAGTTCTACCAGAATTTTAAAGTTGGGCAGCTCCAAAGTCGACTTTTAAGTTAGCTCTAAGCATTTATCTCATATTTTAATAGAAGAGAGATAAAAGTTAGTTCTTGATCAAGGGCTAAGCTCTTGCACATATTTTAAAGTTATGTGAGAGTGACATGTGGGGCTATCCATTGTTAAAAGTTATGTGCTGAAAGTTAGTACTATTGGAGAAGTTGGCTGGTAGCTAGTACCTAGCTCGAACCATTGCGAGTGCCCTGAGGTGAGAAAGATGCATCGGTTGATGTAAAAGATAGAGCTACAACTTTGACATCAACCATGCAATAAGCTTCCAAAAGGTCATTCTCCCTCCCTCTCAATCCGGTAGAAATTATGTACGAGCTACCAAAACGGCTTTCCCCATGCATGAAGCAACAAGGAGTTTTTGTTTGCTTGTAATTTTGTAGAGAAGCCATATGGTGGACGATCACGCCTCCCGTGGAAGATCGGACTCACTGTCACCACCGTTTTTAAATGGGCATCATGCAATGCATGGCCCCCCACTAATCGGCCGAGTGGTGGTGGTCGTGGTCTCGCCTCTAATGATGGCAACGATGATGGCATCCTTTCAGCTAGCTCCGACCCTCGTACCCGAATCATATCTTTCGCAGCTAGCTTGCGTTTGGACCATTGCGCTTCACACACAGATCTGCACTACGACCTAAATGCGCTACAACACCATATCCTGCGCATTCAATTTAATCATCATCGAGTAGGGAAGGCGTTTTCTTTTCTTTTCTTCTATCTTCTTTTTGTTTCCTCTTAAAAAGAACTTGAGTAACCATTCTAGTAACAACCACTTTTAGTGGGTGGCTCAGTGGAGAGACGTGCACACTCGTTGTTGAAATTTTGTCTTTAAGGTCATATGTGTCACCGTTGTATACACATGAGGTATATGTGCTTAAGGTCAATCTCAATGAAAAGTTTCATTTTCATTAAATGGGGAGTTTTAAAAGTAAGTTTAATGATATTTTTTGCGAGGAAGTAAGTTTGATGATATGGCACTAAAGTTATAATCGATGATTGAGAAAAGGTTTTATTTAGATTAAACTACCATTTCCACTTAGGGAGCGTTTGGATCTCTTTATTTTGGAGAAATTAGAATCTATTTAATGGATTAGGCTATTTATCTTAGAATTTGAGATTTCACAACTTTCCAAAGTTCACGTATAAGGTTATCTTAAATTCATAAGGTGGAAGATGGAAATTGATTCTATAGATCAACATGCTATGTTTCTACTTTACAACTTATAGCACGCTTTTCAACTCGCTTTCTATCGGGTATCGATATTAGGGATACCCAAAGCAAGGAAGTTAGTGCCCACGCTGACTTCCCCGGATGGCTCGAGACGTATTAAAAGGTCTCGCCCTACCCCAAGGCTACGGGCTCCGTCTTGTCCGACCTCGAGGCCGCGGGCTCCGTCTCGCCCGACCCCTTGGGTGCGGGCTCCATCTCGCCCGACCCCAAGGACGCGGGTTCCGTCTCGCCCAAGGCCGCGGGCTCCGTCTCGCCCGACCTCGAGGCCGCGGGCTCCGTCTTGCCCGACCTCGAGGTCGCAGGCTCCGTCTCGCCCGACCCCTTGGGTGCGGGCTCCGTCTCGCTCGACCCCAAGGACGCGGTTTCCATCTCGCCCAAGGTCGCGGGCTCTGTCTCACCCGACCTTGAGAACGCGGGTTCCGTCTCGTCCGACGAGGATCCATACCGTCGCCAACCACTCCAAGTCCAAGCGTATGGGCCTGGGTCAAAACTCTGACGCCAGAGAATAGGCTAGCACGCCTCGATGTAACCCGTGGCCATGATGGGCCATACCTAGAGATTCACATCAAGAACAATGTCGGGCGTGTGTAAGGTCCTAATGGCTAGAGGGGGGGTGAATAGCCTATAAAAATTTCTACAACAACACTTAGTAAACCGGTTAGACAAATATGAGGCGAAGCGAGTATTGCGCTAGCCTACTAAAAATGCAAGCCACCTACCACAATTCTAGTTTCTTTTGTTTCTAACCACACAATGGATATGGCACTACACTAAGTTAGTGTGCTCTCAAAGGCTAACTAAAGAGCCACACTAACCAACTAACAAGCTCTCACGACTAGCTACACTAAAGAGCTTGATAACTAGTTTGCGGTAATGTAAAAGAGAGAGAGAGAGCAAGATAATTATACCGCCGTGTCGAGGAATGAACCAATCAATCACAAGAATGAAAACCAATGAATACCAATCACCTCGGAGTCAAATGATGACACAATGATTTTTTTACCGAGGTTCACTTGCTTGCTGGCAAGCTAGTCCTCGTTGTGGCGATTCACTCACTGGGAGGTTCACGCTCTAATTGGCATCACACGCCAAACCCTCAATAGGGTGCCGCACAACCAACACAAGATGAGGATCACACAAGCCACGAGCAATTCACTAGAGTACCTTTTAGCTCTCCGCCGGGGAAAGGTCAAGAACCCCTCACAATCACCACGATCAGAGCCGGAGACAATCACCAACCTCCGCTCGATGATCCTCACTGCTCCAAGCCGTCTAGATGGCGGCAACCACCAAGAGTAACAAGCGAATCCCGCAGCAAAACACGAACACCAAGTGCCTCTAGATGCAAACACTCAAGCAATGCACTTGGATTCTCTCCCAATCTCACAAAGATGTTGAATCTATGATGGAGATGAGTGGGAGGGCTTTGGCTAAGCTCACAAGGTTGCTATGTCAATGCAAATGGCCAAGAGAGTGAGCTTGAGCCGGCCATGGGGCTTAAATACAAGCCCCCACGAAATAGAGCCGTTGTACCCCTTCACTGAGCACTTGTCGGGGTGACCGGACGCTCCGGTCATATCGACCGGACGTAGGACCCCAGCGTCCGGTCGCCCGATGCTTGCCACATGTCATCGGCTTTAAACGTTGATCGCCCGATCTCAACGGTCATCAGTACATTTAAGTAGTGACCGAACACGCTGCTCAAAGTGACCGAACGCACCAACACCAGCGTCCGGTCGTTTTCAGTAAGGTACCAGAAGCAAAAAATCACGACCGGGCGCGTTCGGTCGTGCCCGACCGGACTCACCCAGCGTCCGGTCACTCAACGTCTCCCATGTACGCTGCATATGTCATCATATGTCATACTGACCGGACTCAGGCCCTGAGCGTCTAGTCATTTCTCGTGCCAGCGTCCGGTCATGAGACCAAAACCGGACGCGCCGGTCCTATCGAGACCAGCGTCCGGTCACTTACAGTGACCTCCGTTCACCTGGGTTAAGCCACCGAACACATCTGTTACACTCTGTGAAACCCTGTCTTTTCTATACAGTGCGCCGGTGGAACCATCGAACTATCCGCACTCTATGGGCGGACTCTCCGCCGGTGAAGTTTCTTACCCTTGCTCAAATGTGCCAACCACCAAGTGTATCACCTTGTGCACATGTGTGTTAGCATATTTTCACAAACATTTTCAAGGGTGTTAGCACTCCACTAGATCCTAAATGCATATGCAATGAGTTAGAGCATCTAGTGGCACTTTGATAACCACATTTCGATACGAGTTTCGCCCCTCTTAATAGTATGGCTATCGATCCTAAATGTGATCACACTCACTAAGTGTCTTGATCACCAAAAACAAATTGGCTCCTACCACTTATACCTTTGCCTTGAGCCTTTTTGTTTTTCTCTTTCTTCTTTTCAAGTCCAAGCACTTGATCATCACCATGGCATC